GCTGCTCCGCGGGAGAAAGATGAGGCTTTCTACTCCCGTAAAGATTTACACCCTCGGAAACCCTGTACAGGGTTGCTATGGGTCAGAACTGACTCGACGGCACTTAACAACAACAACAAGGTCATAAATAGAGATAGATCTACCCCACACTGATACCACCAGATAGCGGTTAGGATTTATTTACAACACATTACAAGATGGAGGATAATTAGATCAGATCACAAAGTAAAGGAAAACCACACAATACTGGGTTGACATATTTGTGGGAAAGGAGGGTACAATTCGATCCAAAATGATAACAAATCTATTTTAAAAGGAAATTTGACCTAATAGCTCCTGTTGTTGTTGCCAGCTGCCATCGAGTCGGTCCCTACTCATAGCAACCCTGTATAGGGTTTTGGAGGAGTGGCTGGTGAGTTTGACCTGGTGACCATGTGGTTCAAACCAATGTTGCAGTCCAGTGCCTTATTCTACGGCACTACACCAGGATGCCAATAGCTCCTAGCTGTGAATGAATAATTCACTGGATACTTGTGAATCTCTCTCAATTGATTTGAGCCCTAGATCTCTGAAGCTTCCATACCCAGCCCTTTTCCCTGGGTGTAGGTTAGGGAAGGAGACTCCACAAAGGTAGGACTGGAAAAGATACATGTCCACCCTGTTCTGATCTCCCACCTCTATCTCCTGTTCCCCTCACCCCCACTCCTTCGATTGAGCTGAGACTGCCCAGGGGCAAAGAATTAGCTGAGGCCCTAACCAACAACACTGTTTGTAACTTTCACATATCAGAAGGGGGCAGATTCAGACAACTTCCCCCTGGTGTGTGTGGGGTATGGATGGTATGGGTGGGGGACAGGGTTCCAGCAATAGGCTAAGGTCCCCACTACTGGGCTAAGCAGCAATGTAAGAATAGGAGCCTGTCCTAATGCCATGTGCTACACCTGGGATGGCCCAGGGGGCAGGGGACAGCAAAGGTCCCATGTCCCTCTTGCCCCATAGAGTGGTCTCAGAAAAATCTCTGGGGCCCCAGGTGATGACAACCAATCCTACACCCTACCCAGCAGCTCACTCTCATAGTCTCCTGAGCTGGGACAAATAGGGACCAAAGCCCTGCCCCTGAGGGGGAAGAGGGTTAAGTAAGGTTTGTGTGGAACGCTGCATGTGGCCTATCTGGAAGCCTCTCTTATCTTCCTGATCATTTCCTTCTTGTGGGTCCCAGATCTAGACAGCTCCCCTCCTCCCGAGAGCCTTCAGGGTCCTTCCACCCAGCAACTGCTTCAATCATCGACATCTGTGTTCTTTCCTCTTAGCAGCCAGACCTGCTCTTTGTGCTGTGATGTAGAATACAAGGCACTTTTACAGTAAAAAGTTTAAGTCCCCCTTCACCCTTGTCTCTGACCCAGCTCGGCCACAGCTAGTCATTGCAAGCGTAGGGGTCCTCCATTGCACGTAGCAGCCTTTAAGTTTAGCATAGGTGGGTGTCCTGATCTGGACTCCAGGGAATGGAGCTCTTCCTTCCCTATCCCAGGTCCTGCTTCCAAGCAGGTGTCTTCAGCCCTGTGGTGAGAGTTGGGTTGACCTCCCTCCTTTCCTGGGTTCCAGGCAGGGGACAATTCTACTGGTCATGAGCCTGGGCTACACAAAGATGACCTGGAGTCACTCCTGAATGAGGTAACAAGGCACTGGCTTGTGCAACCAAGGCTCAGGGATGGGGGTCATACCACTCCTGGGACATGGCAGTGAGACACTTTGCTTCTGTGGGGCCACCAGCACTCACCAGCCACATGCCAGTACACATAGAGCCCCCTCTGTCCATACCCCTTGGGTCCCTGGGAAGTGGTTAGCTTGTAGGCTTTCAGTACTAGGTGTGAGTTTGAGTGCTTCAAGCCTGATCTGGGAGACAGCATTCACCTGAGGGACAGTGGTCCCAAAACTTCTGCCCTTCCCAGGGCCTCTATACTTACCCTCCTGAGTCAAGCTTTTCCCTGGGAAGAAAATGTGGCTTTTTAGGGTCTTCTTTTGCAGGAGTGCAACTCCTCCAGCCGTTCCCGGGTGTCCACATGTGTCCACTCCAGAGTCCAGCACCCAGGGGCCCCCAATGACACCAGAGGGGTGGGGGCCTGCTTCTCTGCTATAGGTGGTGCAGGCAGATCACAGACTGTGCAAGGAACCCCAGGGGCCCTGGGACCGAGAGGTGACCAAAGAGGCTGTTTGAGGATGCTGTAGCACTGGGGAAGGGGTGGGTCATGATGTAGACTGGAGAAATGGAGTTGCAGATTTACAAACCTACTTCCGTGCAGTGCAAACCACCCCAATTCTGCTGTCCTATGGGGTCTTCCAATCCTGATGGAGCACAAGCATTTTCTGGGAATGCAGGATTGAGCAGACTGGCCTCATCCTAGGGGACACCCACAGGTTGTGGCTGTGCCTTGAGTTCTCAAGATAACCTGGACTTGGGGTCTTCCTCCTGCCTGGCCCATTCCAAGGGGCATGAGCCGTTAGTTTCCCCATCTTTGAACTAGAGGATCAGGTTGGGCAGTGCCTTCATGTCATGATATCCATGCTCCCATGTGCCTCTGTAGTCCTGGTTGCTGGTGGTGGTTAGGCACACTGTCTCCTGGAGGTTCTTTCAGAACTCTACTGAGTCCATTGTTCCTGCCTTGTCCTGCAGCACTCCTTCGACGGCATCCTGCAGTGGGCCATCCAAAGCATGTCCCGTCCACTGGCCGAGGCGGCCAATTTTCCATCCTAACCCCAACGGTCAGGCCTGGTGAGCAGCTTGGGGCATTAAGAGGAGACCATGGGCACCAGAGCTATGAGCCTCCTTCCCTCCAGTGGGCAGGGGAAGGGGCAGTGAGTACCCACTGGGCTGAAATCATGGCATTTCTATTCCCAGAAGACCCCAGGGGACACCCTCCCTTACCCCAGGAAGCTGTGCCAGGTCAAGAAAGAACAACTGAGAAATTCTGAGTCTTTTCAGTCCTCAGGTTGTCTAGTGTTTGTGATGCCCAGAGCAACCCCATGGCTGAAATTTAAATCCATGTGTGCTTGTGGACTGGGGACGCAGCTAGATTTTCAAACTTGGGTCTCCACAGTTATGCATTTACTTTGCAGTCTGTTTGCTGTTTTAAAATGAATAAATAAGATTACTTGACCAGAGGAAAAGCAGCCCCTGCCTCCTTGCAACACTCTCTTGCCTTGTTTTGTTCATCACAACCTGACATTCTATTAGGTCTTCCCTGCTTGCTAGTATATGTTCAGTATTCTGTAAGGGAGCCCTGGTGTGGTGCCGTAGGATAAGCACTCAACCTCAAGGATGGTTTGTGCCACGAAGTTTGCAGTTCAAACTCACCAGCTGCTCCTTGGAAACCCTATATAGGGTCGCTATGAGTTGGAACTGACTAGACAGCACATAACAACAACAACATTCTATAGGGGAGAGAGATTGCTGTGCACACCCAGCCCCTGAACAATGTCTGATTACATAGCAAATACTGGTTCTCTCTTACTGACCAGTGAGCAGATGGTCATGCATGGGCCAGTTATTATCCCCACAAGTAGCATCTGGCTGCAAAGCATGTTTTATGCTGGCCATCAACCAGTTTACAGGGATGACGGTGTAGCTCAGAGAAGTAGAATGGATTGCCTTAGAGAAATCACTGGTGAGAACAACCTGCCTGCAGCCACCTGGTTTAAGAAGATCAAGACTAAAACTGTTTACATTAACCTAGCTTTATTGTTCCAATTAGCATACCAAAAATCATGCGGCTGGTTTACAACTGCCACTGCTTCATTCTATTATACAGAACACCATGAGTCTGAAAGGACTCAACTGTAACAGACAACAACTAGCAAAAGCAGCAATAACCATTCCAGTAAGCTCTTGCCCAGAAAAATGAGTTGCATGAAGACTCTAGACTCATGGAAAGAGAAAGGCTATGTGCTGGTGGCCAGGAGGCAGGCTTGCAGAATGTGCCCTTTGGTTGTTTAAATGATTATATATTTCTGAGTGTCTTTGTGTATGTCAATAAAACAAAACAAGAAACAGAGGGGATAGAAGCAAATACTGTTAAAAGATGGTGCATGAAGAAGATTATAATCATTACAATGGAACAAAATACTATATATAGGATGAGCGCAAAGCCGATGTTCTCCCGTGTATATCACTCAATCACAATAAAAGCTTTTTTTTAAAAAAAAGATAGAGTTGCAAACATAACAAAATAAAAACCCCATTGTTCATTTCGAGGACTCCCTGAGAATCCATTTGACCTAACTGCTCAATTGATCCACTTTCCAGAATAACAAATCACTCAAGTGTGCAAGCCACTCACTCCTGAAGTCTCCTTCAAAAGTCTTGCCCAATCCCAATCAGGTCCCAACTCTGAGTGACACTCCTTAAAACAGATCCCAGACCTTAGAAATATCAGCCCTCAATGCCCTTTCTCCTACACTCCACAAGCCCTGTAACGGTGGTGCTCTCCTCACTGCTTTGGGCTGGAAATGGCCAACAGGACATGTGGACTCTTTGGTGGAGTCAGCGACCAGTGTACAACCGAACAAAATGTTAACTGGGTTTTGCCCCATCTTCATGATTGTTGTTAGTATGTTTGAGTCCATTGTTGTGGCTAGTGTGTCAATTTATCTCATGGAGGGTTTCCCTGGTTTTATTGACCTTTTCCAACGATTGGTCCCTCATGATGACTTGTCCAAAGTAAGTGAATGGAAGTCTCCCCGTCCTTACTTCTAAGGAGCTTTCTGGTTGTAGTCCATTAATAATCCTGGACACATACTCAGATGTGTCCAAAGCCAGTGCCTCTGCAGAGGTAGGTACTCCTGTGCTGCTCTGGATCATCCTCCCACTCTGCTTTTGTGCTGCGTTTTATAAGCACACTGAGCATGACTGGGACTCCATGCACCACACCATCTGAAGGGGAATCTGTGACTCAGCTCTGACTGGGGCTCAGTGACTCATTGCCTTTGCTCTGTTGGACAGCTTTGCTAGTTGTAGATGGCTAAAAAACACAAAAATAATTGTTGTCTATGGTCATGTGCAAGGCACTGCAGAATAATGTACTAAATTGCAAGATCAATTTGAAACTCATGATTGGCAATTTAAACCCACCAGCTGTTGTTACTCGGAAATCCTAGGCAGGGTTACTATGAGTCAGAACTGACTCGGTGGCACTTACAACAACAGTCATGTGCATTTCTTCAGTGGAAGGACAATGATTTTCTCTCAACAAGGAGCACTCTGGCTGCACTTCTTCCAAAATGGATCTATTGGTTCTTTTGACAGCCCATGGCACTTTCAATATTCTCCTCCAACACCATAACTCTAAAGCATCCATTCTTCTACAGTCTTCCTTATTCACTGTACAGCTTTCTCATGCATATGAGGTTATTGAAAATACCATGGCTTGGGTCAGGCGCACCTTAGTCCTCAAGCTGACATCTTTGCTCTTCAACACTTTAAAAAGGTCTTGTGCCTCACATTTGCCTAATGCAATAGATGGTTTGATTTCTTGACTGCTGCTTCTGTGAGTGTTGATAGTGATCCGAGAAGAATGAAATCCTTGACAACTTCGATCTTTTCTCCATTGAAAAGAATGTTGTTTATTGGTTCAGTGGTGAGGATTTTTGTTTTCTTTACATTGAAATGTAATCTCAATGTAAGAAGGATGTGCTCTTTGATCTTCATCAGTAAATGTTTTAAGTTTTCACTTTCAGCAAGCAAGGTTGTATCATCTGCATATCACAGGTTGTTAATAAGTCTTCCTCCAATCCTGATGCCATGTTTTTCTTAAAAGAACCTAGCTTCTTGGATTATTTGCTCAGCATATAGGTTGAATAAGTATGGTGAACAAATACAACCTTGTCGTGCACCTTTCTTAATTTTAAACCATTCAGTGTTCCTATGTTCTGTTCTAACAACTGCCTCTTGGTCCTTGTACAGATTCCTCATGATTACAATTAAGTGTTCAGGAATACTCAGACTTCACCATGTTGTCCATAGTTTGTCATGATCCACACAATCGAAAGCCTTTGCACAGTCAATAAAGCACAGATAGACATCTTTCTGATTGCTCTGCTTTCAGCCAAGAGCCATCGGACATCAGCAATGATATCCCTCGTTCCATGGCCTCTTCTGAATCTAGCTTGAACTTCTGGAAGTTCTTTGTCAATGTATGCTTGCAGCCATTTCTGTATTACCTTTAGAAAAACTTTATTCGCATGGGATATCAAAGAGACTGTCTGATGATTTTCACATTCTGTTGGGTCACCTCTCTTTGGAATGGGGACAAATACAGATCTCTTCCAATCAGTTGGCCAGATAGTTGTCTTCCAAATTTCTTGGCAGAGATGAGTGTGTGCCTCCTGTGCTGCCTCACTTTCTTGAAAGATTTCAATTTTGATTTCATCAATTCCTGGTACCTTGTTCTTTGCCAATTCCTTCAATGCACCTTGGACTTCCTCCTTGAGTATAATTTTTTTTTAAATGTTTTATTGTGAATTATATGATAGTTTACATGGGAGAACATTAGTTTTACATTCATTCTATTATATATCGTTTCATTGCCATGGTTACAATTCCCTCCATGCATCATCAACCAACCAAAGGGTATACCCTGCAAGCCTGCCCCCTACACACCTCCCCCACCCCCCAGTCTTCAGCACACAGTCCTCTCCCTCTCTAGATCTAAAGTCCCCAGCTGCTCCATCACTCCACATCATCGTC